TAAGAATATATCATTGGGTTGGTTCCTCCAAGTTCGGAAAACAAATCGGCGTTTTCGGATCTCAGCACCGGACTCGGAGGGGGGCGAGTACATAAGTCAGGAGATGGAATAACTTACCTGCTGCAGGCGAGACACAAGAGACACGTGAAATACTGGAGAAACTAGCTGCATAATCTGTATACTAAAGTGACACTTATCTGGGTAACATTTCCCGAAAGACACAATGTGAACGCAATGTATACTCAAGATGACGATTGTGAGCATTTAGCCTAACATAGGCACAGATAGGTTAATAGTAAATAGGGGCCTAGCTAACCTATACATCTGCCTGCACTATATACAATAATACCCATTGCAGATAGATTTATTTCATCTTGATCCAGGTAGGAGTGTAATAGATATAAGTCAAGTGCATAAAATACCTGGTTTAACCTAGCATAAGATTATATGTGAGCTCTCACTCTTTCAGAAATATATATCAATTTCACGGCTACTTAAGCGTCGTATGTAAAGGTTACGCTCGTTTCGAACATGACATAGAATAATACAAGATAACAATCAACTCTGACGCTTTCGATTTTCAGAATGTATGTTACTCGTGTATAAACGTCTAAGTGCGGCAATACTATGGGAATGAGAACTTATGAATCTTGCGATAACAGATCTATTAACATTACTGGTATTATCCTGGCCCTCAAACAGACAGCACCTCGATTCGCACTAGGTTAAGTGAAAATGTTAGAATGAATTTGAAGCATTCGTTGGCTCTCAGTCTCTAAAATTCGTATCGGTTTTAATATCATTCTTAGAAAACTAAATGACACCTAGGCTACTCCAATGCACCTCACTTTCCAGTTTATTACCTAGTATCCATTGATAGTGTTTTGGTTTCTCAAAACCCCGAGCAGCCAGTATGGTGATAACATTTCGCGTCGTTTCTATAGGTCCCGGTGCAATGACGTGCTCGCATTTGGAGGACGTGCATGACGACGATTATAGAGCTGTTGCCTCATAACCACAAATTCGTCTTGGGGATAGGTGGCTACTTAGATGTTAGAGTCGAGCTTAACCCTATGTGATGTGCATTGTCGCCTGAGGAATCTATATACGTTACGAGCTTGTAGGTAGTAAGAAAATAGAGAAACTGTGAGGAACTCAAGAGCTGAACCCTTAGTCTAGAAAACAGATCAAAGAAGCTGTTTGAGTGTAAACAAGCCACGCTGATCATGCACTTAGACGTCGTGAACTAGGTGTTTGTGTTCTACTACCGCTCCGATACGTGATATGGTGACAGACAGCTGGCTATGCAGACAGTCGCGCAGCGTAGAGTGTCGCGCAACACTATATTACATGTCGTATCACGTTATTAGCTTGGACTTCGAAATATTCACCCATCGCCACATTGCCATCCAGCGGTGAGGTTGAGCGACATATCATATCAATGCTCGCCTAAGAACTTATACGGGTAGCATCGGGTCAAGCTGGACGGGGAGGCATGTGCATGAGAACATGGGTACTTTAACGAGAAGAAATATTTTCAGCTCAGAACAAGGCGAATGTCATATTTCACAGGCTGTTACAACTAGTTCGCATCATGCGCCGGAAGTGTAAATGAATTACACCTTGGCGAGAAGGATCCGAGAAAGCAGACAAGAAGAAAATTGAGAAGAGAAAACAAAAGAACAATGGCAAACACGCGATGCTGGCCAACCACGTCAACGCGTAGAGTCTTATATAACATTGCGTTAGAATGGCGTTTACCCCCCTAGCCCGGAATCCTCACGAACGATGTCAGGTGGTTGGGGCTCAAGTCTTATGCTCCTGCTCGACTAAGACTAGATCAAGAAGTTTAAGAAGTTCGAGAAGGGGGTCTACTATAACTATGTGGGCTGGATCCATGAGGTCGGGACGAGGCGAAGTCTAAATAAATAGAAATAAGAAAAAGGAGGTAGGTAACTTTGGTAGTGTGGTAGTGTAAACATCTAGATTAGAATTTCATATGCAAAAAGACCAAAAGCGACCGATGCTAAGCCAAAGAATGAGCGCCGAGCTGGTCGAATAGGCTCGTCCCGGTTTGCGTCAGGTTTGGCTGATATGGCGTGCAGCTCGCCAAGCGGCCACTGGACGAGCAGATCCTACGTAACAGAAACTCGATCGCGCCATTGGCTACCAGGGTGGGATTCTATTTTCCCTATGTTTGGTGCTTCGTCTCTAATCAGAAAGGAATAGGGAAAGGCCTTGGTTGGTTACATTGTCTCGCCGAGTTAAACCTTTTTTCTGTTCAAATAGGCAGGTTGTTGTTGTTTGTCTTGGTTACAGGACCCGCGGCGGCGAATGGGAGAAGGCAAGAATTTCATATATCTATCTTGAGATCTGCATATACTCACACACTCTCTCCCCTCTTCCTTTCTCCTCTCTTATAATGTTCGTGGGTTAGTCTAGATTAGTAGGTCAGGTTAGGTGGATTCCTGTTACTCGATCGATCGTTCGTTCCCTCGACAAATTGTCGCATACGGACCATGGCCTCCGACAGGACAAAGAAAGACCCCGAGGTCGCGGACGCGCGCGCGCTCGCGGCGGCGTCTGACGAGGAGTACACTCCACAGACGGAGGCAGTGGAGCAGTACGCATACGATGACTCGCGCAAGATCGGGATCACGGGAGCCGTGTTCCTCATATTGAACAAGATGATCGGCACAGGAAGTAAGTTCGAATGGCATACTAACTAACTACATACCCCCAAAAAATACCTCCCATATACTTCATCAACCAAGATACAGCCAACTAATGAAAGGGCCTTGTCCATGATAATTAGTATTCTCGACGCCTTCGACTATCTTCGCCTCGACGGGCTCGGTGGGCGTATCCATCATCTTATGGATCGTGGGCGGCATCTTGACCTTCTGCGGTCTGAGCGTGTTCCTCGAGTTTGGGCTGGCCATCCCGCGATCCGGCGGCGAGAAGAACTACCTCGAGCGGGTCTACCGCCACCCGCGCTACCTCGCGACCTGCGTGCTAGCGTCGCAGATGATCCTCCTGGGCTTCTCGTCGGGGAACTCCCTCGCCTTCGGGCGGTACGTGCTCGCCGCGTCGGGCAGCACCTTGGGTGACGGCTGGGAGGCCCGCGGCATCGCCATCGCCTGCATCACCTTCGCCGTGGTCTTGCACTCGACGCTGCCAAAGTGGGGGCTGCGGCTCGTCAACGCGCTCGGCATCTTCAAGGTTGTGGTCCTCCTGTTCATCGTGTTCTCCGGCTTCGCCGCCCTCGACGGCCGCCTGCTGGTCCCGCCCCCGGGCAACTTCCGCAACGCCTTCGCCATCGAGACCACCGAGAACTACGGCGGCCAGGGTGCCTACGGATATGCTACTGCCCTGCTACAGATTATCTATAGTTATAAGGGCTGGGAGAACGCGAACTATGTCATCGGCGAGCTGAAGCACCCTAAGAAGACGCTCTCGATTGCGGCACCTATCGCTGTCGGCGGTGTTACCATCTTGTACGTGCTTGCTAATGTCGCCTACTTCGCAGCGATTACCAAGGACGATTTGGCTACGTCGGAGGTTCTGGTTGCGGGCCTGTTCTTTCGCAATGTTTTTGGCGATAGCGCTGGAGCGCGAAGTCTACCCGCATTCGTTGCCCTCAGCAATCTGGGGAACGTTCTGGCTGTGAGTTTTGCGCACTCCCGGCTGAACCAGGAGTTCGGAAAGGAGGCGCTATTGCCGTTCAGTCGCTTCTGGGGATCGAATAAGCCGTTCAACTCACCGGCAGCTGCGGTAAGTTAAAAATCTCCTTTGAAGAAAATCTAGTTGTGCCCGTTCAAGGAGCTGATGAATTGGTCTTATATGTATAGCTCTTCCTGCACTGGATCGTCACCGTCATCATCCTAGTCGCACCCCCAGCGGGACCTGCGTACAATTTCATTGTCAACCTGTACACGTACCCCGGAGCGTGGATCAACGCATTCGTTGGCGCCGGGCTGATATACCTGCAATGGAAGAAATCGGAGAATTGGTCGTCGCCGTGGCACACATTCCTGCCCATCAGCGTGGTCTATCTTCTCGCCAACATCTTCCTCGCGGCCGTCCCTTTCGTCCCGCCGAACGGGGACTGGAACTCGGACGGGTACCCGTACTACGTATTTCCTGTGGTCGGCGTGGGTGTTCTTATTCTCGGTGGTATCTACTGGCTGTGCTGGTCCAAGATATGGCCAGCCATTGGAGGATACAAGATCGTGGCTTCTAGAGCGGTTGATGAGACGGGAGCAGAAGTCATAAGGTATATGAAGATCAAGACCCGGTGAAGTTGAATATATTCTACCTAAACAGTCCATATTTAGTGAATTAATTATACACCTAATTTCCATGTTAATGTAAATATTGCTCTGTAGTTCTTTATGGATATATATATCAGATAAAAGGTACCTGGTGAGGGACTAACACGACAACCAACTCAGATGTCATGAAACTTTTTGTAAGTACTTCGTGGGAACCAGTAATAATGGATATAACACGGCTTTAATATTCAATATTTCATGAGCTTATCCCACGCCTATGTCCTACTTCAGCAGATTTCCGGATACCACTAAACACGCATTGTGCAGTTCACATGCATCTTCACGTGAAGGAAGAATCATGCAAGCATATTAGAGAAAATAACTATTACAGCAAAGGTTAGTGGGGTATTGTAAATTAGAGGGGCATCAATATTGCCGAGAACACAAACAAATACGAAAATAATTGAGCAGATATAAATAAGAGGAGACTTGGGATTTGTGGTTTTTTTTTAATGAAAAAAAAACAATAGGTAAAGTATTTGAAACCGAATAACTAATTTAATGTGAGAAAAAATTGGATGACCCAAGTAAAATAGAATCGAATAAAAAAAGAAAGAAAGAAAGAGACAGAAAAAAAATTGGTTGCAATCTCAGTTGTCTGAGAAGCATCAGGAATTGAGCCCAATGCGGGGGTCGAACCTATGAATTAAATCGTCAGGATTACTGAACTCGAAGCCGGGAATTGCTTTAGTATAAACTCACCCGCAACCTTGAGATTAAGAGTCTCACGCTCTACCGATTGAGCTAACCGGGCAAACGGTCGGATCAACGATCTTGCGATCGCTGAAGTTTTTTCATGTTAAGCATTGTTATGGATGGAGACGGAGAGCTTGGACTAACAAATGGACTAGTTTACGAAGAACAGAGAAGAAAATTTCTTTCCTAGGTTGCTTTTTGATACCTAAGCTAAACATCTACAACATAGTGGACCTAGACTTATTAACAAACAACTACCTATATAACCCAAGTTATTCCCTTCCTTTTAGACTCAAGCCACTTCATCATTATCTACAGTATTCTACAATATATGACCCACCCCACTTCTAAATGTTATAGCAGTGCTAAAGTCCAGCCAATTTCTTGCTACAGGAACTTATACTCAACCCATATCATGCAGAACCTGCCTATATACACACGAAAACCTGCAATGTAACCGCAGACATAAGACATTAGACCTGATATATGTTTGCTAGTCATGTATATTCCAAGACCGGTGAAGACTCTGATTTTGGCTAGAGCGTAACAGTGCATAGTCAAGAGCTATATGATATGACGTTTGGCACCATTTCATGACTCATTTTTTCAACTAATGGGCTGTTTCATGACATTGTATATGGCGTGAGGGTGAGTTTACTACGGCAAGTCTAAATACTACAAGACAAAAGTATATGCCGGGTTACAGGGTGAGCGATGTCTCTATTCCCGACCTATAACTCTAGTTTTGTAAGTGATAGCACCCTTGTACTACATACGTAGTTGATATTATACGACGAAAAAAGAAGGGAACTACGTATCTACCTACCTGATTGGCCCTTCGGTGGAAAAACTCTCGCGTATGATAGACTGGGGAGTTCATGACCAGGGCCCTTGCGTCATGTATGCCAGGGTAGTATCTCGGGAATCTAAGGTTATCTGCGTCCAGCGGGAGTAGTTCTATGCTCTCAACAAGGCTGATCAAAGCGAAAAGTGAAGACAGGCGGATGAGGAGGAGAAGGAGGAGAAAGAGGATGAGGGGTGGATGGCGATGCCGAGGCTACGGCCGGTAATAGACATAACTAACCTACCTTGAATGTTATACCCTAGGGAATGTTTAATCACGATATCACCACCGCTTCATAAATTGGGATTTGATATATGATTCGTCACTAGGTTAACTAGTAGGTAGTAGGAGGTATAAGAGAAGACTCTGGCGGCGATAATGCCTTATCGCCGAATCAGAATAACATGACCTATATAATATAGTATCTAGGGTAGGTTAGATAGGTCCATAGAAAGGAATCATATCTATCTAACCTAGGTTAGGTAATAAGTTGATCGTTGATAGATAGTCATTGCAAGGTAGGTAAGTAGATGTTATTAGGTTTACGTGATGTATTTTGTTGATACGGTCTTTCTTTTGGAGCCGAATACCCCATCATATCTTCTCTCTTTCTCTTTATTCTTCAAATATTCAGCAATATCCAAGACTCTACCAATAGAAGGTTGTCAGTAACTGTATAACCATACGTCTAGAAATAGAAAACTATTGTGTTACTCGGATATCCATACAGATATTCGAAGACTGGAAGGGAAACAATTAAAATGAAATCTAAAAAGCCTCTAAAGACTACGTATATAACCTGACAGGTTCTTATTCTTCAAGTCCGTGATCTTCACGTTAATATCCCTCGCTCGGTAAAATTTACCTAATTCGACATTAACACTTCAACAGTTCTTTCTGAAACATAGCGGCTCGGTATTCGGGTCTTTTGTAGATCTCCCGAACCATGGATCCGTTTAACTTCCTAGGTTAGGTTAGTAGTGGATTTTGATATGTACCGGCATCAAGGCTTGCTCATGTCTACATAGTTCATAATAGCGAACTTCATACCTACTACCTAAGTATGTACATGAACTATTGCGTTATATAGATTGTTACTTAGGTATTCGTCATCCCCTGCTATAATCAAGTCCCCGGAAACCACCCACATTCCTTTGTTCTTATTCCTTCTTTCTTATCTGATCCTTTTAACATGGTAACTTTTATGATATCTTTTTTTCTTCTCATTTCTATTGAAGAATGGAATTGAAAAAAAAACCCCTATAATTAAAAAAAAAGTTTTCTTATGTTTGCTTATTTGCTTATATTATGGTTTTATATTACATGTCGTATTAAGTATGTATGTTTTATGTTTTCATTAAAAAATATTTTCGACACGAAATAGAATAGAAAATGTGTGAACATAATATTAACGTATATGCATAATTCCGAATTCGATCGTGGTTGTAACCAACAACTATCTAGCCTACATCCATTATGCCTAGGCAGCTAGGTAAGCAGGGTAGATTGAATGATTTTTTACCATCAACATGTGAGACGTGTATAAGAAAAAAAAGCCCATAATTACCTATTAAGTACATATGGTACCTTTTATAGGCAGATGGATTTTATTTTATGTATCGTTAATGAGAGGGAAGGATAGACTCTACCGAGTGGGAATGGATACCTAACCGTATTATTTGCCAGAAATGGTGAGGTGCATTGGCGTTTGCATACCCGACTCCATCTTTCCTAAGCAATCTCCAACGCTGAAGTGACCTCTTAGGTGACATGCTCACGTTACACGTGCATATATAGTCTGTTGGAGATCAGATCCGGTAGCCGCTATTTCCCCATCTTTCTCGTACAGAGAACAGCAGTTGGGCTTTTTCATTCCTTCCCTCATCGCCAGCTAAGCTTCGCTTAAACGATATATGTATGCACTTACTTGATAGCTACTTACCAACCAGCCAGTTAAGTCTTTCTTTGCTCCTACCTTCCTTGCACACCTTCTCGTGTGTCTTTTTTTTTCCTCTTTCCTTTCTTTATAGGTAATTTTTGATTTATTTTGTAATTAGTCCCAAACCTTCTTGAGTAAGTAGTAGGTACCTAAGTATTTCTTTTTTTTTTTCCCTTCTTTTCTCTCGGACCGAGCCCTGATAAATTTCGTTCACCTTCAAATTCTTCAACCCACATCATCATCACTTATCACCATCACCACACTTCTCCCGTCCTTCCTATATTTCCAATCGTCACAACTACTATAACTACAACATGAATAGCTTTCATTGTTAATTCTTATTGTTGCCCTCCCTCCCTCATACGCATAAGTCTATACATATCACCTTATGCATTTGTTATTTTAGAGATAAATTGAAATATTCCAGCTCCATCTCTTCATATGCGTGCGAGTTAGAACCTCGTCCCTTCAGCAGCTCCTACAGCAGCCTCTTTCTCCTTTTATCATTTTCTTCTTTTCTTTTCGTATTTTAAGGATTTCCCTTCGCTTGACTCTTATGGTCCAATGCAAGCAGATCCCTGCCCCGACCTATATGGTATCGTTCTTAGCAAGGAAGCAAAAGCGACAGGTCGTAAGTGACAAGCAATTGTTACTACTCAGTATCGGGTGCGGAGAAAAGAGAGAGAAAACCGGATGCCACGCCACATGTAGGTATCTCCCGAACCAGTTAACCTAGATTAAACGGGCCGACGCATATCTGTTTGGTTTTATTTACCAATTCCGCCTCTGCGTCCTCCTTCAAACCTGGTCTCTGGTATATCTACTCCGGGTTACAACTTGGAGCAGGATCCTCGACGAGACTCACCATTCGTCGTCGGTATTATCCCCCCCCAACATGGCTGCTGAACCAAACCCTATGGACCACGCCAGCCCTGGAGGCAAGCTAAGCAGTGCCATGTCGGATTTTGCCCTGTCTTTCGTCAAGCAGGAGCTGCTTCAGCTAGCCCGCGAACGAGATGACATTCTGGGTCGTACCTATGTCCCTAAGCTGCGCGCACTTTTAAGAGAGGTGGATCAGGAACGAGAAGCCTTTGAAAGTGACAAAGAAAGATTGGTCCGAGGACTGCGTGAAAAGCTCGAGTTACTTCAAGTTGATGTAGGTATCATTGACCATGTGGTGTCTCAGCTTCATCCCATGACGCCCAAGTACCTGAGCGTGATCCCTAGCGCCTCAATATTGACTATACGTCCCCCTACGCCTGTAATCACATCGCCTTCCCGCGATAACAACTATTTCAGCACCGTGCTCGGTGCAGACACTCGATCGAGTAGACCATCACCTGTTACACCACAGCAGAACCAATTGTCTCCCGATTTGGGAACAATCCGGCACCGATCTCCCAAAACAGAACTTCATTCATCTCCCCGAGCAGCTCCCTATGTTGATCGCCCAGTCCAGCCTCAGATCACAGCTCAGAGCCCAATAGTGACCCCAATAGCAACCCCAAACCCTAAGCGCCCTAGAACTGGGGGTAAAACTAGTCATGGGCACTCATCCCCTAAACGCCAAAGGACGGATGGTAGAAAGGTGAATTTGGCAGAATCATTAGCAAGATCCCCTTTAGCTTACAGTCACGCAGGCCTCGCAAGAAACAGTCCGCCCTGAAATTGCTCGTAAAATCGCTTTCCCTAACTTGGAAACAACGGAATGTATTTTCCGGCATTCGGATAGGAAAGGTTACTTCGTCATACGCTGCAATCGACCAGACTGCAAATCTGGCTTTTTCTCGGAGCCGCCACTTGTGTATAATCGTGCCATAAAACATTTCCAGAAGCATGGAGAGACCGGTCCGAACGGAGAGGAGCTGACGAACGACTACATTTTCGACAATTTTGCTTGCCAAAGTAAGAATTCAGCAAGAACAAAGCCTGCATTTTTCCATGCTGACAGTGTTTCTTAATATAGTTGACGGATATGACATGGCCAGCAAATACTGGATTAAAGAACACCTAGGTTCTTCGCCGCACACGTGTAAGCCGTTGCATCCTTGAGATTTTACAGGAACAGATCTGCATCTCGACATACGGAGGAGTTGATGGGTGGTATCACTAAAGCACTATAGTTACCCCTGGAAGGACCCCAAGGACCAAACCCAGCCACATAGATATACAGACAATCCTACACAAGCAAGAGGAGTTGGAAAAGCTGGACAAGGACTTTGTACCAGCTATCAAGGCACGAGAATCAACATCAAGTCGAGAGTCGGATGACGAT